TTTATAAAGGCAAATGGAATCTTAGTTTAAAAGCTTGTGTAAGACTTCATACTAGTAAGTGAAGGCACCTAGGTTTTCTGATACTCTGTGTGTGTGTGTGTGTGTGTGTGTGAGAGAGAGAGAGAGAGAGAGAGAGAGAGACACACCAGTGGTTTTCAGCTGCGCTTCATAGGTCCAGGGTGCTACAAGGGTGATCACCTGGGCCTTCTAGTCCCTTTCACTGGTAACTCTTAAATTTTATCCCCAGTACATTAGAATTGAAAACTAATTTTCTTTATATTAAACTGCTTTTTCTGCAATTTAAAGATGAAGAAAAATGTGAAGTAAGGGAATTCTAGTATGTGAAGGAATTATCTGCCTGAAAAAGTTAACTTTGTCTTGGTGAACATATGCACACTGTTGTTATACAAATGTTCTGAGCTTGTTCCCCTCCTCCTACCTGCTTTATTCACTCACTCTGCCATATGGAGGGTTGTGTGTTGCTGGATGGATTGTGATTTGAACTTTCATGATTCCTAATTGGGAGACTGGAGAGGGGGTAGACTCAAGAGGAAAATTTTCAAGTAATTTGAAAGAGTGTCCTGAATAGTTCTGCAATGTGTGAGGGAAGTAGAAGGGGTGAAAAAAAGATGATTTTTAAGGAGAATTGTGGACACAGTGATGTATGAGAAAAATATGGAACAAACTTGAGCCATTTTGATTTTGCTTTTCCCATGAAGACTGGCAACCATGTGGGATGTTCTTTTAATAGGATTTAAGTGAGTTATCTTTAAATTTTTTAAATTTTGTTTTCTCAAGTTTCCTGTTTTTTAAAAAAAATAAATTTATTGGGGTGACATCAGTTAATAAGATTATATAGGTTTCAAGTATAGAATTCCATGGTACTTCATCTGCATCTTACATTGTGTGCCATAACCCAAAGTTGTATCTTTTTTTGTTACCATGTATTTGACCCCCTTTACCCACTGCTACCCTCTGGTAACCTGTGTCTATGAGTTTTGTTTGTTTTTCTTGTTTGTTCATTTGTGCTTTCAGTTTTATATTACACACATGAGTGAAATCATATGGTTCTTAAATTTTTCTTTCTGACTTAACTTCACAGCATGATATTCTCAAGGTTCATCCATGTTGTTGCAAATGGCAGTATATCATCTTTTATGTCTGAGTAGCATTCCATTGTAAACATGTACTACATCTTCTTTATCTAATCATCTATTGGACACTTCAGTTCTTCCCATGTCTTGGCCACTGTGAATAATGCTTAGGTGAACATAGGGGTGCATATATCTTTGAACTGTTTTTCTAAAGATCACCAAGGTTACACAGTGGAGAACAGATTGAAAGAGGCTAGAATGGATGCAAATGGATCAGTTAAACTGCTATTGCAATAACCACGTTGAGGGAATAAAGTGATGGAAGCAGAAGGAAACAAATTTTTATTATGTATGTATTTTCTTTTTTTAATAGAGGTATAATAATAGACGTATAACCTGTTAGTTTCAGGTGTACAACATAATGATTCAGTATTTGTATAAATTGTGAAGTGATCACCACAATAAGTCTACTTCTGTTCCATACATAATTTAAAAAGTTCTTATGATGAGAACTCTTAAAACTTACCCTCTTAGCAACTTTCAAATATGCAATACAATATTGTTAAGTAATAGTTTATATGTTATACATTATATCCTCATGACTTACCTATTTTATAACTGAATTTTGTGCCTTTTGACTCCCTTCACCTGTTTCAACCAACCCTTCCCTTCTGGCAACCACTAACCAGTTCTCTTTATGAGCTTATTTTTGTTCTTGTTGATACTTGTTTGTTTTTTAGATTCCACGTATGAGGTATGTCACACAGTATTTGACTTTCTCTCTTTGACTTACTTCACTTAGCATAATGCCCTCAAGGTCCATATGTGGTGTTACACATGGCAAGATTTTTTTTTTTTATGGCTGAATAGTATTCCATTGTGTGTGTTTCTTCATCCATTCATCCATTGATGGACATTTAGGTTGTTTCCCTATCTTGGCTATTGCAAATAGTGCTGCACTGAACATGGTCGGGGGGCGGGGTGCATATATATCTTTTTGAATTAGTGTTTTCTTTTTTTTTTTGATAATACCTTGAGATGGGTATCTTACAGGGCCATAAAATATTGAGTCCCTCCCTTTCCCAGAGTGATCGAATATGCTCATGTTTGTTTCGTCCCTTGGAGACTAGGAGAGCTTGACCAAACCCCTATTCATCTTTCTCATAAAAACATCCGAGGTTGGGGTGTAAGGAGGGTTTGGGAGAAAGCTGTTCTGTACCAGTAAACAAGGCGCATTGACTTTCATGTTGAGTGGTACTATAGCTCAATGCTGATCAGCCAGATAAACCCATGCTCTTTTTGGTCCACCCAAAGTCCTGTATTTTGCAGCAAGGTTATCATTACTGACATCGTCCATTTTTGTTTGGGAACACATTATTGAACATCTACAGCCACGTTGCTTTCCAATGTGGCCATGTTTGGTACATTTTGGCTGACTTGGGCTTGACCTGCAGTGGTATCATTATTTTTAGGAATCTACCTAATTTGGGCGATTTGCTGCTTCATTGTCAAAATAACATCTCTTTATTTCTTACTTGATTTCAACATAAGGATTTAGGGAAGTTTTCTAAGACTGGCAGGACTGAGAGAAAGAATTCATCTAGATTTCTTTGGGTGAGTTTCTCATTTTTCAGTAAATCACTTTCATCGTCATTTTCAACCCAATTCAGTACAGGGAGTTTGTCTTGGAAATTTCTGCAAGGGGGCCACAGCTCTCCTATAGCAGACAAGACACACTGCCAGGAAATGCTGATGCCTTTTACTCATTCAGTGTATTGAATGTTGACAGGATAGATTTCAGGAGGGGCTGAGCAATAAGATAGGCAGCTGTTGCCTTTCTTCTTTAACAAGCCTATGTGTCCTGCCCCAGATCTCCCAAACAAACTAGCCCAAGTTTTAAAAATTCTTCTTATTCTAATCACAGTGGTTGCAGTTTTCCTTCTTTCAGAGCCCATGTAGACACAGTTCTCTGCAGGGGAAAGAACCTTACATGCTCTGTTCTCTCTCCACCAGACAAATATTAGGACTAGTTGCTTACAGGGCAGACCTGCTGAGGCTGACTATCAGCTTGGTAGAGACCTGACTATCAATGGAACATTATTCAGTCTGCTGTCTTTGAACCTGTTTACTGGTCCTCCATGAAACTACCTCCTCAGTTCAGCCTCATTAACACATGATAAAGTGGAGGACCATTCATTGCTTAGTTGATCATACAGCTTGGTCAGCATGTTGACTTACAGTTGGGTGTGAGACAATACCAACCAACTGAGAATACCCATGGATTTCTCTCAATTTCTGTTAACTAGCCTCTCATCCTATTTCTAAAAAGCTTTGTCTCTGTCAGATTCCATCCTCATTGTCAGACCTGTCAGAAATTCTGAAGGGTTTGAGATTTCACCCTTCATGCAAGCTCACCAGTTAGCGTGCCACAATGTCATAGATACGATTAGAACACGTGAGACTCTTGGATTACACAAAGGACTTACACATTAATTGTGGCAACAGCAGTAGTCAGAGTGTCAGCATTTGTGCCAGTTAACCAGACCCAGTTTTTATAGAATTCTGCAAAGAGGGCTGAGTGATACTTCACTCTGAATTGGGCGTATTAAAAGAAAGGAACTCCCACCTTGGGGACCAGATCTGTTATAACAGGGCAATAAGCCTTCCTTATCTTTGCCCTGTGGGGGGGGGGGTAACATTATCTTTATTATACTGGACAGGAAATAAACCTGCATTTTTCTTTCCAAGGAGGCACTATCTTCTAAGGCTGTTTATATATAAATATCCAGAGCAAAAGGAATCAAGTGTCTTCTTTTGCAAAATGTGCAAAAGTGCTAAGCAGTCAAGGAGAGTTGTCTTTCTGTATCTTGGTTTGGATTTGGGAAAACATTTTTGATTACAGGTTCTTTCCCAGTCAGTTTTTAAAATTCTGGTGAAATAGAATATTAACTGAGCATTAATATTAAACTTTTTTTCTGACACTATTCATCCCCTTTATTTAGTTCATTCCACATCCTTGCTCTTTCTTCACCTAGACTACTGTAATTACCTAACTGGTCTCAATACCTTATAGTCTTGTTCTGTTTATCCTCAACAAAAAAGTGCCAGAGGAATCTTTAAAAACTCAGATCTGATAATGTCACTCAATTTAAATTTGTTACATGTCCCCCGTTACTATTAGGGCAAAGTTTAAATTGTTGAGAAGTTGTGTAATTAAATCTCTTGTGCTAACAACTATCCAGTTCTTAAATGTTACCAGGTAAATTAAAAAAAATTTTTTTTAAGCCATAAAGGCCAGTATTAGATAGGCTGTGATCTCTGCTCTTATCTTTTATTTTATACTGTTGTCTGCAACTTGCAGTTCTTTCTTCCTTGAATAATTTCCATATTTGCCTCTTACACTTCTATTCATTCTTAAAAACCTACCTCCTCTGTAAAGCTTTTCTGTGAATCCACCTCAGCCTAGTTGGTACCTTGCTCTGAACACCTTTAATTTCTTAACAAACTGTGCATGTGTCAGTGTTGCACTTACCTCATTGTATTCTAATTATTGATTTTTTTTCCCCCCCTGGTCTGCATTCTCACTACATAAAGTGTAAGCTACTCAGAGTGTGACCCCTTTCCCTTCCCAGAAACACCAAATCTTTAGAAAAGAAAATGGCTTTGGAATCAAATCCATTAATTTAGTTCCTGCTTTTAATTACCTTTAAGATATTCCCTGTTTTGAGCCATGAGGATGTTAATTTGCTTAATTTTGAAGGGAAAAATACAGTATTCACTGGAAAATAGACATGTGATGCATTCACATGGTCCAATCTATATATATGATCCAATGTATATGGACATCATATTTATTATTTACTATGCCTGATGATATTTTCTTGCATTGTTTATATTAAAATATAGACGGTGGACATTCATAAAGAGAAAGTGGCTAGAAGAGAGATTGGTATTTTGACAACAAATAAGAATACATCAAGAACTCACAAAATAATTGCACCTGCAAATATGGAGCGACCTGTAAGGTATATTCGGAAACCTATTGACTATACAGTTCTTGATGATGTGGGCCATGGTGTCAAGGTAAGCATTTTTATATTACATTAACCTAAAATACCTTATTTTATCCAGTAAATATTTTGGGTAGCAAAATACTAGTAAAGAAAATTTTCTTCAAGAATTAATACATTTTCTTGGCTAGTAACTAGCATTACAACTTTCATAGAACATTTATGTAATATTAGTTATGCGTTATACCAAACTTGGGGCAGAATTTTACCAGTTGAATAGGTTATATTCAGGGAGCTATTAAAACTTGAAATGATTATTCAGTAATTGAACCATTTGAATCCTAGACTAATATTATAATATTGTGTGGTGAATACCATGTCATGCTTTCACTACTGAATGAATATTTAAAAATAAAAATTTTACATGCTTTTCAGAACTGGCTTAGAAAATAATGTATAAATGCTTAAAACTTTTATTCCTAAATTTGTGTATATATTCGTGTGTCTGTGTAAGTGTAATTCCAGCAACCTAGAAGAAATAAAATTTATGGAGTTATTTTCTGTGCACCATCCCATATTCCTCCCCACTCCCCACCCCAACAAGCTTTTAGGAAGGAGATTGATTGTTGCCTATGTCCATTTCTTAGTATGGCAGAATTAATTGCTCTTGAAAGATACCTGTAGCCTATCAACTATTTTGGTATCTATGGAAGCGTTGGGAATGACCTGAATTCTTCAGCCAGCTCTGCTCAGGGTAAACTATTCCTCTGAAATTTGACCGTCCCTTTCCTAGAGTACCAATTTTTTATTTTATTCTTGGTCTTCAGAATATTTATAATCATTTTAAGGAGTCAGCCAGAATCTTGAAGCTTTTCTTAGATGGTTGATCTGACTGGACAGAGGTTTAGCTGGATCTGTTGCATTCTGAATTATCTAGGGTTCTTAGTCAGGAGTCCTTTATTCTGCTCTTCTCACAGACTATTAAACTCTCCTCTTTGCTGCCATGCTTAGAAGTTCCATGCAAAGTTGGGGCACTTAGCAAATGTAGGAGGAGGCTGTTTGTTTCTTGTATTTTTACCCAAGGCTGTGACTAGGGTTATGTAAGAGCTTAAATTCAAATTTAACTTAGTTTAGATTGATCTATAGGATTTGGACTGTGAGACTCTGGAAGAACTCTTTTTGTATTATTATGTGCCTTTGGATTGAAAATACGTATATACCTTGCTCATGCTCACCTACTCACTCCCTTATTCATTCACTTGCTCTTACTACTTCCTCTTTTGCTTAATCTTGATTTTTCTTTCTGCCAAAGAAATATACACTCAGGAAAAAAATTCTCTCACCATCTTAGAAGTGAATATCCTTTACTGTCTCTTCACTTATAATTGCACATAGTACTCAGCAGAGTATAAGATGAAAACACATTTTACAGTGAAATTTTGAGTGAGACTATTCAGTTATTTCATCATACATGCTTAAATGGGAAGTGTAATTGTTACCGGTACAGCAGTTAGCACCCTGCTGCCCACCACCACACTCTAGGCAAAAACTGCAGAGGAAGTGGTTTAGTGATAAAGGAAAGGAGTTTTTATGTGAAAGCAGTCACTTAGGCCTATCAAGTCACAGCTTTAATCACTTAAACCTATCAATTAAGGCACAGCTCTTAACACCTGGATTCTCCTGTCATTCCACCTGTTACTTTTTATCTTATTTCTATAGGATTAGTTTACAAACTAAAACAACATAAGATACAAAAGCTACACAATTTCGGAATAAGGGCAAGCTTCTGCCTCAGAGATTGTCCCCTTTAGAAAAAACAAAGAATAGCACTGCCAGTCTGCCAGGCCATTGCGACTCTAGGGTGAGCCTGGAGTTCCGTTCCATCCAAAATACCATCCTTTGGGAAATGCAGGCAGCTGCAGCACGACCACACAGGCATCCTTGAGGAGGAGAGCCTGAGGGCCAGAGGCTGGAGCCAGCCCTGTTCTGTACTGTCTGGACTGTTTACCATTGCCTCAGCAGACTCCTCCCATAGCCCCTCCCAGCCTCCCCCTAGTCATTTGATCAGATCTCTCTGTATCATAAACACAACATGATATACTGGAAGTACACAGATAGGAGTTTTGGCAATTTACTTTTTGTAAATAGAGAGTTTAGACTCAGGGTTCTCTTAAAGTTTGAAAAACTGTTGTAAAATATAATCACTTAAATTCACCATTTAAGCATTTTAAGTGTACAGTTCTGTGGCATTAAGTACATTCACATTGTTGTTCAGGCTGTTTTAAAATGTTTTTTTTTCTTTTTAATTATAGTTAACATACCGTATTTTATTAGTTTCACGTGTATACCCAAATGATTAAACATTATAAACTCGATAAATCTTGCACCCATCTGACACAATACATAGTTATTACAATTACAATATTATTGACTCTATTCTTTATGCAGTACTTTATATCTTCATGACTATTCTTGTGACTATCAATTTGTACTTCTTAAGCCCTTCACCTTTTCACCCATCCCCCTATCCCTGCCTCACATCTGTCTAGGGAAGCCATCAAAATGTTCTCTGTATCTGTGAGTCTGTTTCTGTTCTGCTTGTTCATTTATTTTGCTTTTTAGATTCAATTATTGATAGATGTGTATTTATTGCCATTTTATTGTTCAGTTTTTTTAAAATATTTTTTCTTCTTCTTAAAGAAGACCCTTTAACATTTTCTGTGATACTGGTTTGGTGGCGGTAAACTTCTTTAGCTTTTCCTTGTCTGGGTAGCTCTTTATATGTGATTCAATTCCTTGCTTTTTATCACTTTGAATATTTTTTGAAAGTACTTTCAGGCCTGCAAAGTTTCTGTTGTGAAATCAGATGACAGTCCTATGGCAGCTCCCTTGTAGGTAACTAATGCTTTTTCTCTTTCTTCTTTCAAGGTTCTGTCTTTGTCTTAACCTTTGGCATTTTCACTATGATGTTTCTTTGTGTGGGCCTCTTTGGGTTCATCTTGTTTGGGACTCTGTGCTCTTTCTGGACTTGTATGCCTTACTTCCTTCACTAGGTTAGGGAAGTTTTCTGTCACTTTCTCAAGTGAGTTTTTAGTTTCTTGCTCTCTATCTTCTCCTTCTGGCATCCTCATGATGTGAATGTTGGTATTTTTGGAGTTGTCCCAGATGTTCCTTACACTATCCTCATTTTTTTTGGATTCTTTGTTGTTGTTGTTCTGATTGGGTGTTTTTTGCTTCTTTATATTCCAAATTAATGTTTTGATCCTTGATTTCATCTATCTATTGATACCCTGTAAACTTTTTCTTTTCAGTTAGTATATGCTTCATACCTGATTCTTTTTTTTATAGTTTCCATGCCTTTTTTAATGCTAATAGAAAGCTCTCTATCTCCCTTTTCCCTAAGTTCATTTAGCATTCTTATAAACAGTGATTTGAACTCTGCAAAACATTGATTCCTTGTTCCAGTTTTGTTTAGTTCATTTTCTGGAATTTTGTTCTGTTGTTTCATTTGGGACATGTTTATTTGTCTCCTTATTTTGGCAGCCTTCCTGTGTTTGTTTCTATGTATTAGGTAGAGCTGCTATACCTCCCTGTCTTGGTAGAGTGGCTTACTGTAGTAGGTGCTCTGTAGGGTTCAGTGACATAGCCTCCCTGTTCTCCCTAGCTGGGCACTCTAGGTGTGCCTCTTGTGTGGGCTGTGCACACCCTCCTGTTGTGGTTGAGCCTTGATGGCTGTTGGCATGTTAGTGGCACCTCAGGGATTTCTTACAACCCAGGTAGATTGGCTGCAGGACTGGCTGCTACCACTGTGGAGGATCAGCTGTGCAAGGGCCAAAACCACAGAACAGGACTTGGTTCATTGGGGCTCTGGTGCCCCCTGAGCCTGCCCTGTGAGTGTGTGGCTTGTGGAGGTGGTTGGGTCATGCTTTGATGTGGTCTGAAACTTTCCACAGGGTATGTTGGTTCTGAGGTATCCTGGGAGGTACAGGCCAAGGTTAGTCACTACCTGTGTTCTGTTTGGAGCCACCCGATGTGAGCTACACAGCATTCTGCTGGTGGCTGCTACTTGTGCTGGTGTTGGAGGTGACCAGAAGAGGTCAGTCTGTGAATCAAGGCCAGCTGCCACTATTTCTGGGCCTGGGCCCACTTAGTGAAAGATGAGGAGCATGCTGAGGCCTGATGATGCTTATTTTGGCATTTTAGGAAGGTCTTAAGCATGAGCCAAGATGGGCCATTCATATGGAAAAGCCACTGGGAACAGCTTGGGTAGGCCCACAAGTTGGGTGGGGTGGGGTCTCGGAATCACTACAGCAGGGCTAACAGTGTTAGTCAGGCTGATGGAGTCTCAGATATGGCACCCACCTGCCAATTCCTTGTGGGAGAGGGCTCAGAAAAGGAACAATGGCCTCTGCCAGCACTTCTGTCTGGGAGAAAGCTGCCCCCCCGCCAGCTCTTGCCCTGATACCAGACAGTTCAGTTCTTCCCCGTATGTCCCTGGTGTCTTTCAAGCTGCTGCCTGAGTGCTGGAGCTCAGAGGGAGTGAGTCTGAGTAAGTCTGTGTGCGTCCTTTCAGAGGAGCACCTCAGTAACAAGCAGTGCTCTGTCTCACTCAGCTACAATCCCCACTGGGTTTTACAGCCAGAAGTTAAGGGGACATCTCTTCCTGGCACTGGAACCCTGGGCTTGAGTGCCTTAGGTGGGGCTGCAACCCCTTGCTCCTCTGGCAGTACCTCTGTAACCGAGATATCCCTCCTGTTGTTTTAACTGCCGCATGTGGTGCGGGACCAGCCTGTTAGGTGTCTCTGCTCTGCCTACCAGTTTGTATGTGGCCTGTTTTATATCCTTTGTTGTAGGACTTCCATTCAGGAGCTTCTGAATGATGGTTGTTCCATAGTGTAATTGTAATTTTGATGTGGTCATGAGAGGATGCCAGTACCACATTTTCTCATGCTGCCATCTTGATTGGAAGCCTTAGAATGTACTGTTGGCTGGGGTGAGAGGATGGATAGGAGGATACGCTGTCAGAGCAGTGTATTTTAGAAGCTGTTATGTGGCATATTTGTCCCTATTTTG